TTAACTTGTAACTGGTTGTTGCCTTTTAAATACACAAATAATAGACCTTGGTGAGAAATTTTCACCATTTACGAATGACCCAATTTATTACGGAGCTCACCAAATCCATTATATCAAAGTTTTGAGGTCAGAAATACAGCTAACTCTGCATTAAATATTTTATCGCAATTTGGTTGGTCTACGGTGAGTAGCCATTCTTCTATTATTGATTGCGAAAGTTGGAAGCCCTGGAAGACGTTGTTAGTATCAGAGGGGAAAGAAATGAAAGAAGCGAATTAAGGAACTGTGCAGCGTTAAATGGAGTTCTAGAAAATCTCAGTCAATAGATCACTCATTGTTTTTTAACCTCAGCTGTTCATCAAGCCTGGTCCTGAATACTATTTTTTACGACTCTTTTTGGAGAGTGCTAAAAGAACGAAATGCTTCGTTGGGTTCGTTTAAGTGTAGTTCATGAAACCGCCTTATTTAACGGTTCCTCTGAAACTGCTTCTTAAGAGGCATTTTTTTATTCGAACTCCCTTCTCACTTACGAAGTTTCTTAGGAACTTCCATGAATGTTTCATCTTTTAGTCAGCACTTAACCTCTGACACCGCTATTTAATCTCGTCGTTTTAGACTATACAAGTGAAACCTTAATTGAGCAGTCGTAGATCTACTTGTCAACAAACGAAGAAGTAGTTCAAACTCTAATCGGAGCTCAGTAGCTTGGTGAAGTAGTCTTAACTAGAATCACAAGTTAAATTCAAATTTTTCCCACAGCTTTTTCTTTTATTTGTTCATCAGTTCGACACTTTTGTAGGCTCTTCGTTTTTCTACATGAGAGTGTCTTCCGAATAAAATCGAAACACTCAAGCCTATGGAACAATTAGAAGCTCTATGAGAGCACTGATTGGTATGATCAGCAGAACCTCTTGTTCCACATATCGCCTGGGCTGATTTACATTGACGACGAGGAGTTTCGAAGAAAAGCTCCCATTGATCCCGTAAAGCCTGCGGAGTGCTTGTGGTGAATGTCCGGGAATGACCTGTTCCAGCTCTCCTAGGCAAGGCACATCATATATTTCGATTTGTCGCCTAATCTTTTTTTCCGCTTTTGTTTTATTCTTATTTTTTGCATACTCGGTGGTACTACTTAAAAGTGCACCGGCCGATATCAACATATTTTCGAAGATTTAAATAAGCGATTGTAAATCCCTTTGAACGATCCAGTTCCTTGTCAATCAAAAAAATTGACCCTTTTTTAATTGCTTCCCTTGTTGTCAAATTGTCTGATTGAAAATCCTTCTTCTATTTTACCCTTACATCTAACTATTGGCACTATTTTGTGTTTCTAAATCAAACGATTTCACTCTAGCCATTGTTGTGAAACAAAACCTAATTGTGGCTAATATTTCGCCTTCACCGCCATCTATAGGTGTTTCCGCTTTCGATGTGACTCTTCATGGTCGCATCGAGTCGAACCCCAAGGAACAGAACACCACACCAATGAAGTGTTCTCGCTTAAAAGTCTTCTTCACCTTTGTTAATTAACCACTTTCTACTTTTAGAGATGCTTACAAAATCAGCAAAGTACATATCACGCTAGCGCTTTCTTTTTAACAAAACGAGAGTTCGCAAAATTCTATCACATTTCGTTGAACGAAAGTTTTAACGGCCTCTTGGTTAAGAGTTCGAAAACGTTTCTTCTTCCGTTTATCACTTGTTTTCTGAAACCTTCACTAGTCGCACGATCCTCCTTCAGCTTTGTTCGCGCGGTTCTTCGTTCTTCGTTGTGATAAAAGAAAACTTTTTTGAAATTAGCGCTGAAATTTTTTCTGGATTTTCGTAAACACGTGCTATTGTGTTGTTCTTTGCTAAATTTCTTAAAACCTGTTTCATCATGCGTAAAGAAGAAAACACCTCCTAACATTAGCATTGATTCTATTTCGGTGTTCACAAACACCCTATCACGAGCTCCGACTGGCCGGTCGGTCAACTACTTCGATGATCGCAGACCTTCTTTTACACCTTAACACTCGAAGGTCTAAGTTGTCTATCAGAACCCTATCGATTATGAGTGGAGATGGAAACACATTAGTGTTTTAATAGCAGTCGTTTATTTCTGTCTGCTGAGTGTAACTCGATTGAACAGGTTGAATCTGTTGTAGAAACTGCACTTTTTTAAAGTGTAGAGAGCATCCACCATTTCGCGGTTTTATTTTATTAGTGTTATTAATATTATTATAAAAGGACAATTTCTTGAGGAAAAATACGTGACCCTTGTTAAAGGCATTTTTAACAGCCATGGTAAATTTCTGTTCGGTTTCAATTGAAACAGATCGAGGAGCACTGAAATGGACTGGGTGGAATGCTGGTTCGATCCTGTGTTCCGGTCACACCAAGCATTCTATCTTTCCGGGTTCGACAAACTAATGCCGGGATGCCCTCATAACCCACACAGACAAAAGTTGGAAGACCTTCGTCGATGATGGATGCGAGGAAACGAATCGAATGCGAGAAGTGTTGGGATCTACACATCAGATCAGAAAGGTGGATGTATCCTTACCTATTCTAAGGAAACCGAAACTGTTTTTATATGTTTTGTTGCCTTGCCATTGTAATCATTTGTAGAGGTCGTCGTGTCTGTTCAGATGAGGCTGGCTTGAGGTTTATAGCGACTTTTGTCAAATATTTGGCCACACATACAGCTGTCAAAAAAACTAAAAAGGACCACAGTATTTCATCAAAAACCACTGTCGGCACAGCTCCTTTCCAAGAGCTTGTCAGTAGAAATTTTGTCTTTCGCTACGCTCTTAAATCTCGAAGTTCTTTATCTCACCCGAACTCAGCACAGGTGGTCTTACTTTCTAGAAAATGGATGACAAATACGGTGGCTGCTTGCAAAGCAGTGACCACTTCCATGTAGTGAAGAATGTGAAATTGGTCGAAACGTTAGCCAGTGTGTAATAAGCGTTGCGTATTAACAATCACATAGTTCATTTCACCACGAGTGTAATATTTGATTGATCAGTGTTCATTGATTCATGTAAATCGAGTCCGAAAGATTTTGAATGAATGTTGTTGTGAAAATTGTAAATAGCTTCTGGTTACTTTTAAGGAATTGCCACCAGTATATATTTTGAAAAGGACGCTTTCTATTTTTGGTCTGGGTCATATAGGTAGTAGTACAGTAACCCTACCGATAATGAAACAATGATATCAATTTCACTCTTCACACGACATGCGGGCCACAACGTTTCCTCTGTGGAGGTTAGAGTTCGGGTTCCATTGGGATGTGGCCTGTTCTATTTATTGATATATTGAATAGTCTTTAGGCGTGGTTATCCGTCCAGTTCCAATATTATTGTGCCATACACATTCGCCGGCACTTCCGAATCACGTGAATGTCTGTTTTGTCCTACAAATAGAATTCTTCGAGACAAAAGTGATGTCATTTCTACGACTAGCCAACCGATTGATTAACTGTAATGACTGCAAAAGAGGACGCTGGATCGAGCCAAGCCTTATTTAAAGCAGTGCTAACAATGTTAACAGCTATTCTATTTTTAGCTCCGATCAACCTTAGGTTTGAAATAACCAACCATCAACCCATAAAGCTCGGCGACGGCCTGTGGAGGCGGCCGTGAGCGTTATGACCTATGTTTTCCACCATTCCAGGCAAAAGTTTTAGCAAACTAAGACCACACCATATCGCAGACACCTAGGGGTCGCTAGGGGTCGCATGCAGATTTTAATAAAAATGCCGTTCAGGTGATCAAATAAGTACTTCTTGTATCCAGCTAATCTGTGTCTTCATATTTATCAAAACTGACTACCATTTAACTCTGCCACGGATAATAATCCTATTCATCCTAATAAGTATGAACAATTTTCCCAGATTATTAAGCTAATGCGAGCTACGACCCAATTTTCACACCTATAAATCATTCGATTAATGTTTCAACTTCTTCTTAATCTTCATTCGAGCGGTGCTTCACTCTAGAAGATTCGACTCGAGGGCTAACGGCTATGAAAAAAAGGAGTGGAATCATTCCGGCCCTGAAGAAGGGGAAGGTGTCGACGCACTAACCGAATAAAGGTTCTCTAACAGCCTAGCGTTAAATTATTGATACAAGAAAATACTGTATCGTCATAAATCTGTAAAAACAGTTCCAACTAAAAAGTATTGCTTTTCGTGAAAAGGTGCAAAATACTCTACGTCGATAACACCGAAAAACAGCCACTTTTCTACCTTTAAAAGCAAAATTAAGCGAAATTACGTGTTGTTGTCTCGCGTACCGTAATCCTTAATACGTGCGTGCTCTTGTTAAACCAGTTGAGTGGTGGAGCCGTAGCGGATTCCGCCGAAGTGTTCCATTACAAGTCGTGACGTTCACGTATATTTCTATTTCAACGAGCGACTGTAACCTAAATCTCTGCAATGGAAGGTGTACAGTAGGTGTTTTTTGAAGAACACAGAAATTTTTTGAGTGTGAAATTTGGCCTTTGTATATGTCTGGACGGAAAACAGTAAGTGAAAGTTGAAACGAGGGCACAATAATTGCATGATGTGTAGACAAGAGCTTCCTTCAAATTTTGTTTTATCCCGTGAAGTCGTTTTCCTCTGCTGTTTTCTATTTTCGTTGCTCACAGTTAATTTTCTCACACTTGTCATATTTGCATAATTTAAATGTATATTTAATTCTGTTGTAACCGAATCCTATTCTCCAAATGTTTCCTGCATGGAATTTTAAGCTATTTCGAACATTTTGGTTTTTTCTGAGAACATTAGTGTCTCATTGTTCTGAAAACCCTTGCAGCGCTCAAAATAGCACCGCCTAGTTTCTGTTGATATGCATTTTGTACGCTACCTTTATCTTTCTATTTTGTGGACAGTTGTTTTTCCAGAAATCCATCGCTTTAAATCATCCTTCTTGAAAAGTGGAATAATCATATTTTTTGTGAAACATCTGCGGTTTCTGTGAATATAGAAAAATCAAAGTGGAGTTTACAGAACAGTCATGCTTGGAATGATGAACGTCGGCTCCGATGCGCAGGTAGAATTCTATGCGAGTGCACGTCAAAGTTCACTGTACGCTCGTAAGCCATCAAAGGACAGCAGAACGTAAAGCAATTAGGCTTTTTTTAAAATACAGTTTCGCAGACAGAAGTAAGAAAATAACGCTCATTCAAGCCATAAAGATGTTCAGTGCACGCAAAAATGAAGAAAGGCCTCAGTATATAGACTTCATTGTACACGAATTGTTATGTCGTTCTGGGTGGGTGTATCCAATGGACGCAGCATTCGCTACCGTCACAGCTAGAAGTCAGAAAAATTCGCCTTGGAGGACAGCAGACTACTATCTGACCGATAAATTTTGATAAATTCCTACTGTGAGTAGCTTCAAATGCACTGATATGGCAGACCCACGTCTATGGAAACCAGTCTCCACCAGAATCCAGCAAGTAAATAGAAAGAGCAGTCGACATATCCTCGACAGTTGCAGTAAAATCAGCATCGGAACTCGGCACCGTTGTCGGCCGCGGTTGCAAGGCAACCAAACAAGTGGAAAAACAATCAAAGCTCGCATGATATATGAAAAGGGTCAAACGACGTTAGTAATTAGGTTCAAATCCCTCTTCCATGTTTTACTTCGTAGGAACAAGCATCCGGACAAACCGTATTAAGTTGTTTTTATTTCCCAATTTTTTGCTGCACTATAAGAAACATTCGCATGGTCATGTTGTTACGATTTCGACGGAGATTTCCTTACTATTAAAAATGCGAATAAAACTCAAAAAACATTTATCTCTTTGGTGTCGCATTGCATCATTACGTAGTCGCATAGGTCAGAAGAATTCCACTCAAGTTTTGCAACTGAAACTCTGAATGGCCTTTTATATCCTTCAGAGTTCAACAAAACTATGTAGTTAAGCCGATCGACTACCCTATTATCTGCCGACGAACTCTAAGAGAAACAGCTTCTATTGCATTAAACAGCCTTTTTCCTAAACCTTCCGTTTCTTGATGCTATGATTATCTATATGTAAATAGAGCGGCGAGTATTCAAGTCCTACATGAATTTTTTGGTCATGGAGACGTTTGTTTCTAAAACAGTTGCAGTAAGACCTTCTCAGGACGTAATCACAGAGAGTTTTTGAACCCTATAGATCGGGGTCATTACCATTTCATGGCTATGGTTCTTCTCGAATGATAACAGTTCCTCACAATGGTTTACTCTTTTTTGAATTTACAAGTGAAAATCTTTTTTCCATATGGAAAAAAGCGCCCGTTTTCATTACCATTTCGTTGGACATGCTAATCCGGTAATTCGACTATGATCGTTGTGCTTTTTATTTGGTACAAAATCCGAAATAACAGAGCCAAAAAGAAGCATGCGACCCGCCTAGGGTTAAACTGATAGTTTATTTTTTGGCTGCCACCTTTTTTAAAACTGTTTACATGTCTTTTTTTCTTCGGAGTGTGTTGATATTATTTCGAGAGTTTTAGTTATACAAATGAAGGGCGTGTGCTGATAAACGGAGTACCAGAAGTGCAAGATTCTCCCGATGAATTATGGCGTTCATTAATTTGCAAAGCGGTTAGTGGTGAAGTGATGAGAGGCGTCACACGCGAAAACGGAGGTAAAACTATGTTTAGTCTTATATTCCTTAGAACTGCTAAATTTTAGTCTTTTAAAACAATTGATTTTTTTATTTGAGCCTTCGCTAACCCTGTAAAATGTGCAATTTTCTTTTACACGACCTACCTTTCACACCTACTGTGCGAATTCCTGCACTTCTCATCATGAATTGGTTTCCTCGTATCCTTCATCCACGAAGGCCTTTCAACTTATTACATGTAGCTTCAGCTGCTGCTTGACGCTTTTCCTGTCATCATGAACTTTCTTGAATGGTGGTCGAGTCGATTCTTTCTTGATGCCTGAGATAGCTAGCCTAAGCTTTCCAAGTTCGATTACTGAGCATGAACTTTTGCCAGAGAAGTCCGATACTAATTTTCTAACCTCGAGGAATGAAAGACTTACGACTTCGGAGCCGGGTCGAACCAGCACTATGCTCGTGGTGATTGGCATTACTACCACTATGCTCCCCCCCCCCCACCTGATGTTGCAATTAGTGAGAAAAAATAATAGAATTTTCCGTAGCCTTTACTGCCTTTGGAATGAAATTGTTTCCAATGATTTTTTTCAACGGAGGTTTGCCATTGATCTTATATTGCTGAAGGGATTTCGAAAATATGCGGCCTGCTGGATGAAACGATGTTTTGTCCGTTGAATTTCCAATTCGGGAATTTTGAACATATATCGTGCAATCCCATGAGTCGGGACAAAAAGTTTATCACAAAGGTACGTGAAGGACTTTAACCGACTATCTCACTTAAAGATAAAAGGAAAAAAGTGGGTAAAGCTCTCGGCGTTGATCAATCCCTGAGGAATGCGCCATGCATTCCACTTCTTCAAGCACCGTTTGGAGGTGAATCGGATGCTTATTTAACCTTTATGGCGACTCGCGGTGGACTGCCCATATATCCAGCTAGTGCTACTATCCTCCAGACAAATCTGGTACCAATTTGTCGACCCCGGAGGAATGGAAGGCTTAGTGGGCCATGGGTGCGGGGATCGATTCCATGTGTGTGTGTTACAGGGCGCCTCCGACCAATTCGTCACACGCGCACTTTTCAATTAAAAATACATCATACTATTTCTCTTGAGGAGCACAGAGATTTGCGGTGGTAAATTTTTGTCGCTACCATTTTAGGCTCTACTGTTTCACGCACTCCAAATAAAAAAGTGAACGATAGAACGTCTAGATTTGATCTATCCTTTAGACATACTTCAAATATTCAATTCAATTTAATATAGTAGAGCTGAATGAATGCATATCTGGTTCACAGTAGCATTTGTGAAAGCCTACGGAAGTATCAGGTCAGTATACCTTAACAGACAACTCCAACATCAATTTGCTACCTCGGTAAGATGAGGACAGTGTGGTAATTGTTGTGTTTGCTCCCTATACTTTTCATGTGAATTTGCCTCGGTGTCTATAGTCAATACAAAATGAGATTCGGAGTAACTATTCGGCAAAACGGTAACTGACTTATCCGGGAGGATAGCATCACCGGCTCGATACACCAGGAGCCCACCGCGAATCATTGTGAAGGCCAGACATGCATTCAATCATCTCCAACGGCCTTAATTAAGTGGAATGCATGGCGCGTCCCTCAGGGATTGATCAATGCCGAGAGCTTTATCCTTTTTTTACACTGGACAAACAGCGAGGAACTCCTATTTGTCCATGAATAACAAGAAAAACAAAAGGCTATCTATGAAAAATGTCATGATGCAAAGCAAGCGAGGTCCACTATTCTAACACTACTGTGTGACATGAACGAACGCAGATTCTACTGTTGTCTGCTTCAGTTGTTCGAGGATTGAGAAGCCTTCTAGTGAAAGGCCGTAATTGCACGGTGAGATCCTTCTCACCTTCCTCAATCCCTTCTTCCTTCTTTCCAGAAACCCTTCTTCAATCCTCTTCGTCTGAGCAGTAATCTGATCCCAGTCAGGAACTTTCTACTGTAGTACTTTTTCGAGGTTGCCTTTTTGCGAAATCAGTTATAAAGACCGTTTATCATTATAAAAGAATTTTTTCTGTTGTCGTACTTTCCATTAGTTTAATGCCCGGAATCGTTCCACTTCCCCAGTTATTGTTGAGTTTCTACGAAAATCGACTTCTGTATCGGAATGCGTTGATTTCCACCAGGGAAAATTCGCGAACTGCTCGTTTTTCCAGTGGTATGACATCAACTTTACCGCCGTTTCCGAGTAACTTCAAAGAAATGTCAAAGACATCCTTGGTCGTCAAACGAGTCGTTTGCGTTCTTCCACTCAAAATTCGATATCGTTCATATCATTTGCACGCACATACCAGCTACTAAGTAGTGGTTTGGATGTTCGTTAGAGATTTGAGGTACTCTTTAGTGCACATAAAGTCGCTGGGTCGATGCTACACCCAGGCAATCGAAGCACTCCATTTCTTTGGAGCGAACAATTACCACCGAATTTTTCTGGGTGGTTGAAGACACTGAGCTCTTTCATGAGTAGGCTGGCACTAATCGTTGTGTAGGTCCGATAATGACGTCCAGTTACGTCTGCGACGTCTCGAATGGTGTTTGATTGTAAAGATATCGGCATGGTCACTTTTTCCCGGGATTAACCGTTTATAAACTGCTATAGGATAAGAGATATAGTATTACAGTTAACCGTTTCTTTGGTAAGACCTAAGCATGTAGACAAGATAAACATGAAGGCGATTTGTCTTTCATTTATGATGTGTTATAGAAGTTTTTCAGGGCCACTTGCTATTATACGGCGAATATCGTCGCGTCTTCTTCTGGGACAGAAACCAAAGGTTGCTGTGGCAAGAGTAGAAAGTGAAAAAGATGATGACAATAAGAAGAACGTCACAGTTGTTAGAATCAAGACAATGCATAGGAAACTGCCGAAGAAAGTTATAAAGGTACTTATTCATGTTGCAACTACAGAACGAGAGCCACCATGAAAACGAAGAGTTAATGGCTGAAAACACAATGTACAAACAGTGATATTACCCATGGACGTGTTCATGAGTAATATTGCTTGTTTGCAATTATTTTATACCAGTACCCATCTTACTGTTTTTTATAAAACGCTATCTCATCACAAAACGCAACGCTTTGCCAGCTTTCGAACTGGCTCACAGACAATTGAAAAGTTTTCAATCGCACTGTCGTTGGGAGAATATAGAATTCCTCCTCTTATCACAAAATACGCATTTTTCGCAATTTGTTTGGCATGTTGCCTAAGTAGAATTAGCGAATTCGTTAAGAGAGTGCGTAATGACGACGATGACGAAGACAACGACAACGACTATGATGATGACAACGACGCCGCCGCAAACGGTCATGATAACGATGATGACGACGATGACGAAGAAGAAGTTCGTATCTATGCTGAGGAAGGTATTTTAAAGTGCTTGATGGAGAAAAAAGCTATATTTGAACGTGAAATGGGTGAAATCTCAATGGAATGGACAACTGACCATGATCCTGAAACTATCGACGACGAGAACGATATTGTTGTGGAGAGATTCTGACTGTAACGATGTTTTTTGTGGTTTTCCTTAAGAAAGTGAAGAGTATGGTATGTAATATTTTTAGAGTTGTGGTTTGCTGTCTTTTGTAGATGATGTGCAGTAAGTGAGATTGGCTTAGTGTACCAATACCCTTCATTGATCGCCTTGCAATACGTCTCTGCAGTATCTCTGCAGAATGACAAAATTCTAATTACGACGTTATTGTATAGCACTTTGATTATTTTTGTGCATAAAGTTTAAATTCTTCGCCTAGCGATATCATAAATTTTTTCACAGTAAAACGGAATGTCTTTTCTTTTGTTAACCGATAGAAGTGGAACAGAGGAAGACCCTCGCAATGTCTCAGTGGGTTTTAAAACCATGTGGAAATGATGGGTCGATATCAGACCTTCATCCGGCCGTGCTGATTCAAATGCCTTCCCGACAGATAGCATTTTTCAATTGTATTGAGGAAGGTCTGGATAAATAAAGAGATCTCAGACATAAGGCACAATGAAAATTGGTTAACAGATGTCCGTGTTAAATACCTCTTTTTGTGCGGTAACACGGTAGTGGTGGTGTTAAACTGAGCAGAATGACGACATCATGGCAGATGTGCATGAGTATTAGAAACCACTCCATGGACGAAAACTGTAGACAGGTCGTCCGTTGCTAGACTTAGTGCTGTCGCAGTCTGCAGCAGTACGTTTTCATGCCAAAATATTGGTCGGAAAAGTGGAAACACTGTAACGATATATGTACACTCTCCGAAATGTAATAGTATGAAAGCCGTCGTCGGCTAACGGCGTGAAATCAATCGGAGCAAAATTCGCGACTGATCCTTTTTCTTCCATGAACTGATTGATTTCTTCCCTGGTCTTTCTACATCATCAATTGGCTGCTATACTCAGGCACTGAAGAGCGGTCAACTTGGCATTGGAATTGCCGAAATCCCGGTGAGTTTAACAAATGCCCTTCCCGAATTTTACAAATCCTCTTTCCCACTTTCGGCCAGCGCTTCTTTTCTTTCTATATTTTGTTATCCCTTCATGGGAGACATAAGTTGACAACTGCATCTTGTCCAACTAAATCGATGAAACGTCCCTTGGTAGTGTTGTTTTCAGCTTCACCACTGTTCTGTTCACGCGTGGAATGAACACTCGTGTATACATCTCCGTATCTAAGAGAGGTGTAAGTCAATAGAGGTTAGAGGAAACAAGAGCTCATTCGGCGAAACACCCTGCCTCTCGTATGACTGTTCGGTGCTCATCTTGCTGTTTATCCGCAATCATCGAATGTGCCATTTGAGTTCGCTTCTAACCGATTGCAGCTGCTTTAGCTGCGAGAATTAAATGTAATATTCCTCAAATCAAATGAGAATGGAGCAACTTAGCGCTTTTCTTTGCTCAAGAGATATTTATACCTCTGTAATGTTAGCTACTTAGCTTACATTGTGTATATTGCTAAGGAATTTAGCTAAAGAGTTTGCATACCTCCACCAAAAAACTTCAAACACCTGTCCTTACGAAGGTCCTACAGTTGTACCTGCCACTAAAAGCTAGTGAAAAACAAAAAAAAGGCAGGAGTATTTTCCTAACAGCTAAACGCTTAGCTTTCCAATAATATTGAATTCCTTCATAGAATGCACCAATCTTCGTAACTTGATACCCAAAATCGTTCAAGGTGGATAGAGAGCATGACGTTCTTAATGCAAAGCCCATGTGGAAAACTCTAACCACTCGGTTGCTGGTTTTCCTATTAAGCGCCTGAGTTCCGTTGGAAGCTAAAGGCTAATGAGTCTTACAAAGAGACTCTCTACCTTTTTGCTGAGTTCCAAACGTAATATCATTAGAGCTTATTGCTTTGACTTCCTGGATCAAAAAATGTATAAACAGTAGAACATTTTCCGCACTAACCTTTCCGCTCCGTCAGTCAAAAGAGGCCATTTCTCATACCTATTGATCAATGCGTAATCTTAAAATAACATTATCAGCAGAAAAATAAGATCACGTGCCCGCGGGTGACGGGCTTTTACTCATATATACCGTCCAAAGTATCCGCACTTCCTCAAGAGTGGCACTAACTGCTTTCGGAGGAATAGTATCATATTGTCGAATCTCTTGTTTAATATTACGAGTTTTATCGTGCACAAGAAGCTTAGAGCAGCTGTTTATGTGAAGTGGTTGGCATGGGAAAACCCGCGGAATTCGTTTGAACCAATTACTATTCGATTGCAGCTTTCTCCGCACAACATTCAAGTGAGCACAGATGAAAAATTCTTCAATAAAAACAGCATCTGTAATCTCGTACGTATGACTGTGGTCAAGCCTTTACCTCTGGACCTAAGGCGGAACGATTCGCACGGATGTCGAAGCTATCAGAATTCTACTCGGGTCTGAAGTTCTTCATTACTCTTCTAAAAGTCACGACTCTTTCGTCGGCTAGTTGTATTGCACAGCACTAAAATAGTACCCATATCTTATGTTTAACACATACCATCCATGAAGTATCCTGTTATTACTGATGTATCCCAAGCGACCATCTTCCCTATTGTGTTGCCTCATCCAATCGAATAACGACATGCAAAAGGAGTTCATCTGTCTCGGCAGGATTATGTAAGCAACAGACGAGTTTAAAGTCATCATTCTATTTGCAACAACAGGTGAGAATAGACTACTACTACAGTTCAATTACGTTGTCTTCGTTCAAGAAGAAACTTAGTCGCAAGGCAGCGAACCCTTAGTCGATCTATCTGGATATGATCTAATTGGCATTCTTAGCAATCCAGTGAAAAAATTGCTTCTGGTCAGCAACATCTGTGAGACATAGGCTGCCTTCGCAAGTAATTTATTCTTCTCTCATCACTCCTGGTTATTCGTGAATAAACGAGGACTGATGTAGACAAAAATGTTTTCCTGGGTGCTTCAGCTACACATCTTCACGAGCCGTCCAATCGTCAACACATTTGCAAATCGTATTGTTCCCGCGCTGTCGTTGCTACTGGACTAGCCTGTTTCTAGTTTGGTGACGTCGCCTGGTATCACCTTCTGACTCACAGTAGTAACTTCTGATAGATGGCGTTCGTTCGTTGGCCGTTTGTTCTGGAGACGCAATCTTGGTCCGTGATGCTTTCGCAATTCCTAGATCTAGAAAGTAGAAGTTTATAATGTCCTGCTATCGTACTTCGACTTTCTAGTTTGTGATAATCACATGTGATAGACACATATTGTCTTCTCGCATAACTACAAATTCGAGTGTGCTTTCTCGAAATGAAATCCATCGTCCCCTCACCGGTTGTCGTCTAGTCACCTAACGTTTTCAGGATGCATAGGATATCCACTGGGACTGTCTTCATCTCATCTCGGTTGGCGACTCAATTAAACAAGTACTACGATGTTATTATTGTCTTCCAACTGTTCATTGTCCGTTGTTGGTTGTAAACGAGAAGCAGCTCAGTGCTTATGCTGTAGCTCATGAAATAAGTGCTTTTATACTCCTCTGACTGCATTCAGCCCTCACTCATTCTTTCTATTGAGTTAATAATACATGCCGTGGCTAATGCGTTAAGTCACTCCACTGGTTTTCCGGGGTGAAACTGATTCTGTGCAGCCAGGTAGGATCTGTGATGATCACTTGAGAGTGCTGTACTAGTGTTGTATCTGGCTCGAAAAAAGTACGTTCGCTGAGAAATTCAAAGGTGCAACGCCATAAATGACACCGAGGACCAACTACTTTGTTGATGCACAGCTCTTCCCAGCCATTATTTGTAGAGCTGATGGCGTCAACAATATATTTATTGCTAAATAACGTGTATAAAGTTCTTTCGATCACTTATCTCCTCCTCATATGATAGCCTATCGTCGCAAACTGAATTCGTTCGTCAAGGTGTTTTTGTAACTTATTAAGTGCAGAGAACGCCGTTTTTGCTCTCACACCACCTATTTCGAACTCCGTTCGATTAGCTATGGAACGATTACAGAGCAGAATAAGAACACCATAGCGCCAACGCGGTGCTTTATGGGTTGATATGCTTCTCGATGAAGCATCTAAAGATTAGGGCTTGGTGGGCGTAGGGTAGTTAAGCCGTCCAACAACGAGGAAAGCCTCATTGCGACTCTGCCACTCGGCAAGAATACCTCTTTGCCTCCGGGATTGCGAGTGGTACTAGATTGGGTCTAGGATCAGCTCTGTTGGTCCATATAAAACCAATCTGTAGTAATGATCTGGGTATGGCCTAACTGGCTCTCTTGGCACTCCAGCGAAAACAATTGCTTTTGTCAGCAACGTACTTGGCATTTCGGGCGTCATCATCACCAATTTGTCTTGCTCCACACTCCCTGATTATCGGGGAAACAAATTTATCTACACCTAAAGTTTTTTAGGAAACATTTTAGGTGAAGATAAATTTGTTTTGGCGACACGTCCTTTCAATCTTCCAGTTTCAACAATCAGGAACCTTTCAATCATCAGCAGGTTTTCAACTCGGATTGTTTCGGCACTGTGCTAGCCAGTTTCTTGTATGGTGACGTCTTTGGGTATCATTTGATGCTCATAGGCCGCCATTAACAACTGCCGGCGAAAACCGTTGGCTGGTTGGTTGCCTGTTCTGGAGACCCACTCTTGGGCCGTGCTGCTTTCTTTATTGTTCACAAATCCTACGTCTAGGAAGCGAAAGGAATTCATGTATGTTTTTTTACCATATTTCAATTTTTTACTTTGTGGTAATCGTATATGGTAGAAGGATGTGGTTTTCCCAAATGGCTACGAATTCCACTGTGCCTCCTCGGAACAAGACCTCTCGTCTTTCCAGTATGTAGGAATCGGGTTTTTGGGGGCAGATGTGTGTTTTTGGATGTCGTTTTCGGGAAATGGTTGATAACCCCAATAGCACGAGCCTCACAAATGTATTGGCAATAGACAAAGAGGGAAAGGAGTGTGCTTTGCATATTGGACAGCTTTGAATAGGTTAATGCTGCGCTCTTTTCTCTACTCTTCAGCACAATATCACGTTGTTTTTCCAC